CACTGGAGGGCAGCCATTCAGGATCCCGGTGTCAGACTGGACCTAAAGACAAGGAAAGCGCTCCGATCTTGGGTGGAGCTCGATCTCAAGTTCACGGACTACGTGACCGAAGACATGCTCGTGCAGGCTGGTCTGAGTCCTGGTAGGTCGCCACTTGTTGTGTTGCCTCTGTTAGACTTTGATGTTGTTTCTGACGGTTTGCTTTTGTTACAGCAACCATGAAAATCCCTGCAAACGAACTCCTTGGTAGAATGAAGGGGAAGAAGAAGCGAGCTTCCAAAAGACCTCACGTTGAGTCTCTGCCGGCTGATGATCCAGAGCCCGAGCTGCCAACGCCCGCCGAGCAACCTCCCGTGATCGACCTGGACGAGGAGGAATCAGGGAAACTCTCCCCACCCCGCGCGCCTGAGGATGTAGTGTATTTGGAGCCCGCCCCTACTGGTGCCGCTGCTGCATCTTCAGGCAGCGAGGGAGCAGTTCAGAGCATCTTGACTCCGAAATACAACATTCTTAAGAGCAAGAGCGCGGTATACGCGGAGGAGGTTGCTAACTGGGCCGAGCTGTCGGTCTTTCAGCTCGGAGCACAAGCGACTACCCATTGCATGGTGGTAAGTTTTTGTCTTGACTTCTTTGGCTTTGTACTTTAGCTTCTCTTGTACAAACTCTTGTTCTCTTCTCTTGGTAGGTGAACTCCGCTATACATGCCCTGACTTTCCAGTCCGAGGTGCATCTAAAGTGGGCTCTTGCAGTTGAATCTTCATCTTGTGAGGCTCATGTCGAGCTAGATTTAGCTCGTAGCGAAGTCAACCAGCTGAAGAAGGATGCGTGGGCTAAAATGGAACTGATAACACTGCTGATGTCCGAGAAGGAGGAGCTCGTGGGGCAAAAGGCGGCGTTGAAGAGGGAGGTAGAGAACCTTGAGGCCCTCGTAAAAGAGCGAACTGAGATACTCCTTCAGGAAGTGGAGGAGGCTAAGATCAAGGCTGTCGAGGAATACAAGACCTCGGAGGAGTTCTGTGGAGAACTGATCGAGGCGGGGACGGAAGGCTATCGTAAGGGCTTCAAGCTCAGTAGGTGGCTGACCCGACGTGAATTCCCTCAGCTCGACTTGAGCGCCATTACTACTTCGAGGGTCATAGATGAAATGGTTGTCGAAGCTGCCGAAGATCCGAACTCCGAGGCGGAAAGTGACAGCGAGCTGCTCTGCGACATCGAAGAGACCAGTGCTGATGAGAGTATGGACCCTCCTACTGAGGCCTCAGACAAGGGCGAAGAGCACCAAGACGAATAGACCCTTTATCTTCTATATTGTATACTCGGGCCTCCGAGCTCGGTCTATAGTGACTTTTTTTTTGTACTCAAAGTCTGATATCAATGAAATACACTTTTTGACTGGCCTTTTGTTCAAAAATGTTCTAAGTGCAAATAACTCCCAAATTGGTGAAATAACCAAGTAGGAGTAGAAATGTGTAGGTTACCCCGAACTGTCGAGCTACCGAGCTAGACTATCAATAGGGGTAACTTCGCATAATGTACGCCGGGGTGAGCGGACATTGTAGGGTATATACCTGACCTGTCTGCACACGGGCTACTCACTTATATATCGGTTGTCCCTTAAAGCTAGTGGGTCCAACCTATTATTATATGCCGAACTGGGCTAGACATCGTAGGGTTTATACCCGAACTATCTATGCCTTAGGCGTGGGGGATGATTTGCCTATGCCGAAGAGGCGACTGGGACTTATCATAGTGTTGAGGTCTTATGTTAGCTCGGCATCATGGCCCTTGGGCTTTTGGTAGTGACTCGCAGTCCTCTCTCCAGTTTGACGATCACAGGTAGTATCTTCTCAGGTTGCAGATGTTCCATGCTCGAGGTACCTGTTTCCCTTCTAGGGTCTCGAGCTCGTACGTACCTTCCCCGAATACCCGTCTTACTCAATATGGACCTTCCCAGTTTGGTCTGAGCTTACCAACACCGGGCTTAAGTACCATAACCTTTCGAAGAACCAGGTCGCTGACACGGAAGAGTCGTTTCTTGGCCCGGGCGTTATAGTACCGAGCCACTCTCTGTTGGTAGGCTGCAGTCCGAATGTATGCCAGGTCCCGTACTTCTTCCACCAGGTCGAGGTTGGTACGAAGCTCGTCATCGTTTGTCTCCTCGTTGTAGGCCTCCAAGCGTAGTGTTGGCACCTCGATCTCTGTTGGGATCACCGCTTCCGTGCCGTAGGTGAGGTTGAAGGGGGTCTCACCCATGGCGGTCTTGACGGTAGTCCGGTAGGCCCATAACACACTGGACACTTTGTCTATCCACAGTTCTTTGGACCGGGCTAAGCGAGCCTTCAGGCCATGGAGTATGACTGTATTGGTGACTTCCGCTTGCCCGTTTGCCTGGGGGTGTGCCACCGAGGTGAAGTTTTGTTGTATTCCCATCTCGACACACCAATTCTGGAACTTGATGTCCTCGAACTGCTTTTTGTTGTCGGAGATGAGTACCCGAGGTAGCCTGAAGCGACATACTATATTCCTCCAGAAGAAATTTTGTATGTTGCGGGTTGTGATTGTCGTTAGGGGTTCCGCTTTCACCCACTTCGTGAAATAATCCACTGCCACCACCAGGAATCTCCTATGTCCTGTCGCTGGCGGGAATGGGCCAAGAATGTTGATCCCCCACTGTGCGAAGGGCCATGGGCTGGTGAGGTATTTGAGGTCGGCAGCAGGTCGGTGGTGGATGTTGGCATGCCTCTAACACTTGTGGCACTTTTTGACGAGATCGAGTGCGTCTGCCTTCATTGTGGGCCAGTAGTACCCTTGTCGTAGCGTCTTCTACGTGAGAGCCCTGCCCCTCAAGTGTCTGCCACACAAGCCCTCATGGGTGTCGCAAAGAACGAGCTCGACCTCTGAGGGTTGCAAGCAGTGCAAGTAGGGGAGTGTGAAAGATCTTCGGTACAACTATCCGTCTATAATGCCGTACTTAGCTGATTGGCGCTATACCCTTCAGGCCACATTGCGATCTGCGGGGAGGGTCTCGTGAAGTAGATAGCTTGCGACTATGTCAATCCATCTCGGCTCTGCTTGTGCTATGGGAGAGACCTCTCCTACCCCTTCCCCCCGAGAGGTAGGTCCTCTATGTACACGGTCTGCATGGTGTTGCTGCTTGTGCTGGCTAACCGAGACAAGGCGTCAGCCTCTGCATTCTTGGATCTCGGGATCTACCTGATGAAATAAGATTGGAAGCCGCATAGAACCTCTTTGACCTTGGCTAAATAAGCAGCCATGGTGGGGTCGCGGGCTTCATACTCGTCGTTGATCTGGTTGACCACGAGCTGGGAGTCACTGCAGATGATGAGGTGTTAAGCCTTTACTTTGCTAAAGTGAGCCTGACTACTAATGCCTTGTACGCTGCTTCGTTATTGGATGTTGCGAACCTGAACCGGAGCACATATTCCAGTTTCACCCCACTTGGACCGTACAGAATTATGCCCGTGTCGCTTCCTTGCTGATTGGACGATCCGTCGACATGGAGGATCCAGGGCTCCTCATCCCAGGTCGGACATGCTCAAACCAGGATTGGTGCCGCAATGGTTGAAGCTTCCTCCGTGTGCTCCAGCTCGACCAGTTCGGGGGTTGTGATGCCGAATGTACATTCTGCTACGAAATCGGCTAAGGCTTGGGCCATAATCGCCGTTCGAGGTTCGTACTGGATGTCGTACTCAGTAAGTTCGATGGCCCATTGCATCAATTTGTCGGATACCTCGGGCTTGAGCAGGATCTACCTCAGAGGCTTGTTGGTGAGGACGATGACAATGTGGGCTTAGAAGTAGGGACGAAGCTTCCGAGCTGCTGTGACAAGCGCGTACGCTAGTTTCTCGATCTCTAGATACCTTGTTTCAGCATCCTGCAAAACTTTGCTAACATAGTAGATGGGTCGTTGGACCCGATCTACCTCTTTTATGAGTACCGAGCTGACTACCTCGTCACTCGCGGAGAGGTACAACTTTAAAATATCACCCTCCTCGGGTCGGGTCAGAACTAAGATACTAGCTAGGTATTTTTCAGCTTGTCGAAGGCGAGCTGACACTTCGCGCTCCACTCAAAGTCCTTGCTTTTCTTTATGGCTTTGAAGAAAGGCAACGATCTGCCGACTTAGACACGAAGCGGCTCAGAGCGGCTATCCTGCCGTTTAGTCTCTGAACCTCCTTTAGTTTGCGAGGTGGTCTCATATATAAGATGGCTTTTATCTTTTCTGGGTTGGCTTCGATGCCACATCGGTTGACTATGTAGCCCAAGAATTTTCCCGAGGTGACGCCGAAGACACATTTGTTGGGGTTTAACCTCATGTTGTATTTTCGTAAAATTTCAAAAACATTTTGCAAATCATCCAATAGAAATTTTGAAAATTGGGTCTTAACGACCATATCATCTACATAGCATAAAACTTTGTTGCCAATTAACGGCTCAAAAATCCTATTTACAAGTCTTTGAAAGGTTGCCCCAGCATTTTTTAGACCGAAGGGCATAACCTTATAACAGTACAGTCCAAGCTCGGTTATGAAGGCCGTTTTTTCCTTATCGGCAGGGTCCATCCTGATTTGGTTATAACCCGAGTAAGCATCTAGAAAGCTCAGCAACTCATGCCCTGTGGTCGCATCCACTAGGCGGTCGATCTTGGGTAGTGGGAAGCAGTCCTTTGGGCATACTCTGTTTAGATCGGTATAATTGATGCACATGCGCCATTTACCGTTAGCCTTTTTTACCACAACTGGGTTAGCTACCCAGCTCGGGTAATGGACCTCCCTGATAAAGTCTGATGCAAGGAGCTTCCCGACCTCCTCGTCGACTATCCTCTAGCGCTCTGGGGCGAGGTTGCATTTTTTCTGTCTAACGAACCTGACTAAGGGATTAGTATTTAATTTGTGAGTTAGGATTTTAGAATCTATGCCGGGCATTTCTGTCGCAAACCATGCAAATACATCTAAATTTTTAAGTAAAAAACTTACCATCTAAGAGCGAAGCAGTTCCTCAATCGAAGCGCCGATCTGGAGGGTCTTAGCTGGATCATCTGTTGAGACCGGGATGTGAACCGTCTCTTCTGTCGATGTAGCTCGCTCCTCGGCATACTCCGTAGGTCGCTTGAACTCAACGTTAGCCACTAGCTTGGCTTTTCCCTTGAGGGCGACAACATAGCATTTGCGAGATTCGAGCTGGTCGCTTCGCACCACCCCTACTCCATAGTCCATAGGGAACTTTATTGTCAAGTAGTAGTTGGATACTACCGCACGTAATGCATGTGTAATGGGCCGACCTACTATGGCATTGTACGGGGAGGGAGTTGCAACCACTAAAAATGTATGCTCAAACCTTACAATGTTTGGCCACGTGCCAACCTCTACGGGTACTAAGACTCGCCCTAGGGGTCTGACCTCCTTGCCGCTGAAGCCTACCAAGGGAGTGTTTGTTGGCTTTAGATTGCTCATCTGGAGCTGCGGTTTGTCGAAGGCGTCTTTGAACAGAATGTCGGCTGAGCTACCCGAATCTACCAGGATGCGCTTAACTTCGAAATCATTTATCCTCAACTTTATCACCAAAGCGTCGCCGTGAGGATATTGGATCCCACATGCATCATCTTCCATGAAGTAGATGGGGTCTTCGAGTCTGGGTTGCTTCGGCGGATTCTGCTCCTCATTCTCTAGTTCGCGAACTGAAGCTCGTCCTGCTACCAAGGTGCAGCCCGCGATGATGGACCCGCTAGTAATCATGTTGATTGCAGATCGACCTTTCTTTGGGCAACTGCCGTGGCGGCTACTCACTCTGTTTGCTGCTAAACTCGGGGGCGTTTCTTCTTTGGCCCCCTGCCAATCTGTTTGGCGATCTGCCTGGTTCTTGTCTTCTCTCTGTATGAATTTTTTTAGATATCCGCAACGGATGAGCTCCTTGATCTCGTCGCGGAGGGTCTTGCAATTCTCTGTACTATGTCCATGGTCTTTGTGGAAGTGACAATAGACATTTCTGTTTCTGGTGGTGGGATCTCCCCTCAACCGAGGTGGCCACTTCACGTAGGAGGAGTCTTTGATCGCCATCAAGATTTCTCCTCGCTTCACGTTGAGGGGTGTGTAGCTCATCCTTTCGGCTTCCAGACTTGTTTCCTCCTCTAGTAGAGGACTTACTATTTCTTCTCTCGTTCCCGTCGTTGCCTGCGTTGTCACCTTCCCTTTTTCTCTTTTTTGTCGGATTATCCGTTCTCTGATTCATCTCTTCCTCGGTCCTGGTGAATTGATCGGCAAGCTTGAGGAATTCGGTGATGTCTTTTGGCTTGTTGGCCACCACATGCCACTTGAACTCCCTGTGGTTTATACCTTTCTTCGCTACCGTGAGCCTCACTTCCGGATCTAGGTCGGGGATCTGTAGGCAGGTGTCATTGAAGCGTTTGATATAGCTTCTGATAGACTCTCCTTCTCTTTGAACTACGTTGAGGAGGCTTTCTTGGGACCTCGGGCACTTCTTGCTAGTGATGAAGTGCGAGGTGAACAAATCTACGAATTGCGCCCAACTTCTGATTGTTCCTGGCGCGAGGTTCCGATACCATGTGTGAGCTACTCCTTTGAATGTGGTGGAGAAAGCCATGCACATGCAGGACTCGTCAGCCCCAACTAGATGCATTTGGGACTGAAAAGAGTCTGCATGGTCGTTTGGATCAAAAGATCCATCATACTTGTCGAGAGGAGGCATTTTGAAGTCCTTCGGCATCGAGGTCGCTAGGAGCTCGGAGGACAAAGGGGATGACCCGGAGAGGAGAGGAGCGGTCTTTGTGGCTGCTGAGCTCGCTTCCTCTTTACCTTTTACCTGTTCTTGCTGATTGGGCCTTGTGAGCTGGCTGTTTTGAACTACAGTTCGGCGTGACCTTGTGATCTCGTCCTGTTGCGATTTGGCACCCGGAGAGGAGAGGAGCGGTCCTGTTGCGATTTGGTACCAAGGTGACCTTGTTCCGAGGTCGCCTTATCCCGAGGTGGTTGAATATCCGAGCTCGATCTATTGTGGACTGGTCATCTCAGGCTGAGTTGTCATCTCTTGGTTATGTCGTGTCCATGTGTCCCCTCTTTATTAGGTCAAGCCAAATCACCCTTCATCAGGTAATTTCTTATAAAGGAAGTAGAGCTCAGGCCGAAATTAGTTTAGCGGTGGGTATGATGATTTGGATAGATGACACGTGGTAAGTTGAGATTCTGCAAAATAGATGCCACAATTTAAGGGAACCTATCTATGGTATAGGTTGGATCTGTTTGGGTCACAATTGGAATCAAATTGGAATCCATTTGAATTAGAATTGGAATGGTCTATTTCTATAATCTGCTTGGTTCAGATATGAATCGAAACGGGAATGAGAATACTGGAATGGGATTTTTGTTCTTGGAATGACCCATTTCGATTCCAGACCCCTATCAAAATAGAGGTTTCCTATCACTTGAGAAATTAAGGGGTTGTTTGGCAAACGGACTTCATTATTAATCGTCTCAGACAATATTAATTCCAAATTTATTTATACACAAAACCAAAACCACAGTAGCAACATCTTTACGTAATATGGTTTTTGAGAAAGAAGAAATGATAACAGAAATTGATTTGCCAATTCCGCTTTCTGGTCTTTCCCCCCAGCCGATTCGGTAATTCACTTAGAAAATTTTCATTTTTTAGGCTGATCGATTCCTCAAACATAAGTGGGGGAAATAGTCGCTCAAGATTTTCGTGTACGGGATGATTTTCAAATCCAAGGGAGATAACCCAAGGGATTTGTTCGGAAGAATTGCTCTGTCAATTTTGTGTTATAAATTAACATGCTCTGATTCACGAATGCACGACATATGTAGGGTTGCAAATGGACTGATGGAATATGAGACCCAAATTTGATCTGTTAATATTTGGATTATAATCAAATCTCATTTATATCAGATTTAGATCAGGATTTGGACCAGTTTCGATATTAAATATCATTAATAAGTTAATATAAAATGGTAAAAATATTAACCATTAATGGTAATTATTAACCATGTATGTCTCGTTTCTACATATTGAACATTGATAATACAAATTTCGAATCCCAAAAACAGATGTAAATATTACCACCAAACATAATGGTAAATGGCTTGTCAAAGGTAAATTATTATATAGGAAAACATTTTGTGAAAGGTAAAATTTTTAATTAAAAGTTTATTGGAAAAAATATTTATTTAAAAAATAAAAATTTATGAACAATAATATATTTAATTTAATAAAATAAATAAGTAATTAAATAAATAAATAATTATGGCCATTGGGCAATAGAGTGAAAGAGGGAGAGATGACTTTTGTCATTGTATTTTTGTTTTATATAATGGAATAATTGTAAATAATTAAATAATAATTAATTTAATTTAATAAATAAATAAATTTATAAAATAAATGAGATAAATAGACAATCAAGTGAGAAAGTAATATAAATATATATACGATTCTATGTCTTACTTTGCTAGCAATCATAATTTGTTAGATTATTAAATTATTAACTAATTAAATAATTTAGTAAAATTAGTAAATAAATAAATACAACTTTATGTATTATTAATACAAGATTGTTAAAGGATATCTCTAATTATTTAATTAATTAATTTAGCATTGTTAATGGGTCGGGCTGAACTACTAGGCTACATAGCTCATGAACAGGCTTAACCCAGTTCATGGCCCGGCCTAGCCTAAGATTTGGCCCGCGAACCAACTCGACCCATGGCATGGCACAAGCCCATGCGGGCTCATTCTAAAATAAAATTTTAAGATCTTATTTATTTTTTTGTCTATTTTTTAATTTATGTTAAATTTTTAAGATCTTATTTACTCCGTATTACTCACCTGTGCTGAGCACGGGCGCTCCTCGCTAGTTTTATATTAAACCAACAACTTAACAAATTGTATTTGAATTATTATTTCAAATACAATAATTAGACAATGTCTTAAATGTATTTAAAGTTTGAAAAAAATATATATATTTTTTTAAATTTTAGGTGTTATTTAATCATTATCAAATACCATCCAACATTTAAATATGATTAAACATTTTAAAATCTAAATTTTGCGCACTATACAACACAAAATTTTATAATATGCATTGTGTAAATTCAATTATGACCAAACTATCCACAATAGCTATAAATAATAATCTACATTAGATAATAATATGATTTAATATTTGTCTTTAGACAACTTAACGAATGTTGTTCTTAATGTTTATAAATTTAAATTGATTGATGAATTATACATCCTTTCATTAATAAACTTATTAATAAAAGATATATCAAAATGGAACAAGACATATGCAATTAGAAGAAATAAGTTCTTTCTCTACTTTTATTATTTGGATTGGCTCCCCACAAAATGCACCCCATTTGCATCATAGACGTGCATGGGGGAACATCTTCTATACGTGTTTAGGGAGATCTTCCTATTATATGGATGAGACATGTTGCAGGGCACGTGAGGGGTGTGTTTTGTGGGGAGCCAATGCAATCAGATCGATAATGTGGATTAGGGTGGGTGAGGGTAGATATAGGCCTATCAATGATATCTAAAATTCCATCACCCGATCTAATTATTTTAGATTTGGATAATATGTATATGTAATCAGATCGAATTCATATTTGACTCAATCCGACCTGATTATATTATAATATTTATTGATTTTAAAATATAGAATTTATATAATTGTATTTAAAATTAAAAAAATATATATTTTATATATTATATATTTATTATATAAAAGTTAAAAAATAATTAACTTTTTTATTTTTTTTTTGTATTTTAAAAATTAATGTGGAATCAAAGTAAATATGAACCCATTAGAATCCGAATTCAAATATGAAATATTAAAATTATTTGAACGCAAGTAGGGGTGAGCATTCGGTTTTTTCAATTCAAAACCAAACCAAAAAAAATAAAATTCTAAAAACCGATTTAGCTATATAATAAACCGAACCAAAACCAAAATATTTGAAAACCAAATAAACTGAACCGAAATTTTTTTGGTTAAAACCCAAATATTTTTGGTGGGTGCTCCTGTTCAAAGGATGAACAACAATTTACCACCTGAAGAATGGTTGAGACTTGGCTGTTGCATGTGCACCACATATGCTCGTAGTCAGTCAGTCTTGGAGCAAGTCTTCTCAGTTAGTCGGTAGTAGTCAGTCAGTCTATGTGCTGCCGACAGTACGCATGGGTCTTCTCAGGCTCTGATTGAGCCTGGAGCAAGTCTTCTATTAGTTAGTCTATGTTCTATCAAAAACATAGAAGAAGAAGAAGAAGAAGAAGAAGAAGAAGAAGAAGAAGAAGAAGAAAGGCAGACATAGTCGACACTCAGCGGCAGCTAGCACGGTGGAAGGATGGAAGAGCAGAGCTGCAAAAGTTTGCCTGAGTGCCTGGGACTCTAGATTTTTGAATAAGAAGAAGAAGAAGAAGTTAGTTTATTAGTTACCTATTGGCTGTTGTAAGCCTGTAACTAGCAATGAAGAAGAAGAACGACGGTAGCAGCACGGTAGTCGAAAGTCGAGAGAACTCAGAGAAGAGATTGAGGAAGGAAGACTAGAAGAGTGGAACCAATTCTGCGGCTCTGCACCCTGCGGAAGCGGAAGTTTGCCTGAGTGCAGAATGCTTAGGGCTGGGACTTCTGGAGTCTAGTCTCAGCTTGGAGAGTGGAGTCTGGAAGCGGACTGTGGAAGAAAGATGAAGAGTTTTCCTGTTTTTGACTTTTCATGTCTAATACGAAATTACCCAAATTAGTCAATAGTCATTAAAAACTTTTAGTCTTTTACATTAATGTTATTGCTTATTATGGTCATGGATGTTCGATCTTCGATGTATAATTGTATATAAGTATATTTATTAATTTATCTAAAATTATAAATTATAATATAAATAATATTAAAAATATATAATTATAAAACTCAATCGGTTTTTTCGATTAACCGATTTAGCAAATATGGTAACTAAAATAGAAACCCAAAATAGATAAAAACCGAATAGTAAAACCAAACCCGACCAAAAAACCGATTAGGCCAAA